AGAAAAAACATTTCGTCGTGAATCAGCGTTTCCCCGCCGAAAACTGAAAATTTCCTGCGGAAAAATTGAAACTCCCGACGAAAAAATATTTTCCCGCAGGAACTGGCGGAATCACGCTCATTTTTTTCCACTGGGTAGTCACTAGAAAAGGAAATATTATCTAAATGTATATTGTGAGTAGTAGTAAAACATGAGAAAGCAGGAATAAAATTAAAGATTGAAGTAGTTTCATTCAAAATTTTATTTACGCTAGGATTATTTTAATATTATAGGTATTGAGTTCGATACACACACCCATACTTATTCGCAAGGAGTATAAGAGTCATCTGACATTGGATCATTCCTGTAGGCAGAATAATCAACATTGTCAATTTCCGAATCCTAAATGTTTGTAGTTAATCATGACTCTTGAACAAATATAACATCAATGAGATTCATGCACCTATCAGTCCCACTAACAAAACTGTTTAGAATCGTTCATATTGAGGCAAAGATTCTCAACATTATGCGAGAAAATTGATAAATTTCTTTTAATATTCGGGGGGACAGAATTTTTTAATGTGCCCGTTACCATGTGTGACGTAAATGTGTGTTTTTGTTAGAGATGAATTGTTTGATCAAAATGTTGTTTCAAAACACTTATTAATTTATTCAGACCAAATATAACATCAGAGGATGGGATACAAAACATGTAGCAAACAATTTTTTCCTCTTTCTCACTTTTCAAATTCGCTTTGTCTAGCAGTGTTTTCCTCTTTCATGCCGATAAATGGTGGCCCAGAAGTCCTGACTCGATTTGAATGGTTAGTTTTTCTTTAGTAAAATACATGATTAAAAATGTGTCTCTAGTGTGAAAAGATGCAGCAGAACACGCTCTACAAAATGGTTCTTGATTGACCATTCTACCTCATATAGTGAGAAAGTTACAAGCTTAGAAACATGCTCCACGGAAAATAAAAATTAGCCGTGATCTTGATCTCGGTATTTTGCTCTAAGTTCTATTACTTAGATTTATCAGAACAAGTGCCTGTTTTAAATCGAAGCGCTGAAAAATGCTCTTCAAAATGATACTTAAACTTTACTTTCAGAACTCCGATTAAGAAAAACGTAGCAAATTATACGCGAGACAAAAGCTAAGAACTTCGTGAATTTAGTTGTCTTTTACTTGAAAATTTTCTTTTCTTAATATTTCTGTTTGACAGGGTATGAAAGTGAGTACTCATTGGTATTCGGTACTTTTAAATTTACTCTTCCTTGTAGTCTCTAAAATATTTGCTTTATAGAAGATGGTGTGCTTGAGATTGAAGTTTCAAGAATACGTCGAGAATTGACACTCTGGTTTTCGGCAATGTACTCAGCAAAAAAAAGAAAAGATGATCGATGTTTTGATGTTGCAGCTAGTTAGAGGAGTGTAATCATTTCTGATCAAAACAAAAAACAAACCTGATCGGCAAACCTTCTGTTTTGATGCAGCTACGAGACTTTTATAGGAAGAACCATCATAGAAATCGGGCTTACGGTTAATTTTTATTTTCCGTGGAGCATGTTTCTAAGCTTGTAACTTTCTCACTATATGAGGTAGAGTGGTCAATCAAGAGCCATTTTGTAGAGCGTGTTCTGCTGCATCTTTTCACACTAGAGACACATTTTTAATCATGTATTTTACTAAAGAAAAACTAACCATTCAAATCGAGTCAGGACTTCTGGGCCACCATTTATCCCTAAACTTCTCACTAAGCTTCATACTTATCTATACTCAACTGTTTGTATCAGAAGCAGAGATTAAAACAAAAATTTTCGATTTAAAATGAATAATGATCTAGATATAACAGAGAGAAGACGGGATAGACTTTTTCTGTCAAGGTTATACGTACAACAGGAAACCTTTCTACAAAATCTTATCTCGTTTGTTGGCACTATTTAGCATAATTGCAATTGAATGAGAATAAAATATTGGATTCAGGGGTGATAAAAAAAACCTGCATAAATTGAACGATAAGGTCAAGCAAAATAGTAGAAGTGCTGATAGGAATAAAACATGCAGTTGTTCTTGACAGAAAAATATTCACTTTTTTTTATTTATTTACTCAACTTAATATGGCATTACACAGTTGTGCAAAGAAAAAGAAAAAGTGAAAGAAAAAAAAAAACAGAAACCAAGTTTTACATTTTCTTTTTAACAAAAAGAAATAAATTTGATTTTTACTACTCATACAAATGTTCTTCATGTTTTTACTCACAGAAACTAATTAAATAAACACCAAAATTTTTTCATTTATTTTGATTTGTGATGATGTTTGATAAATCATATGTTCTCGGTATATTCAGGTGTAAGAAATCACAAACGGTATGTATGATGTAGTCAATTTAGAAAAAAAGAGTTTTGAATATGTTTTATTTTTTGGCGTTTCAATATTTTATGTGAATTACCGTTGGTGTTATGAAAACAAGTAACATTAAGTTTAATAGAGACAGAAGAATATGAGTTTGCTTGTTTTAAATTCTTTTCTCTCCTCGAAGAACATTATAAATTAATAGAATTTTTTGTTTTTCCATAGAAAAAAAATTGTATTAATTTATAATGTTCTTTAGTTAATTAATAATTTGAAAATATTTAAAATATTGAGCATCTAAGAAGAAGACACATCAAATAAATCCCCTTATAAGTCGACATGAGAAAAATTTTCTGTTGTGAGTTTTCTATTTGTTTCAACAGACAGAACTATTTAAAAAGGATCAGTGAGCTTCCTTATTACCCATTGAACTCAATAATATCGACTAATGCTGTTTCTATAATCTACATAGACAAATATAAGACTCCAGTTCTCCATTGTAAAAGATTTTAAACGGTTACCTTATTTATATGATAAATGATGATAAGAAATGTTTACTATACTAAAATAATGTGTCTGCTTGATATTTTTATTAAACTTTTTAACTTTTAAGCTTATAGTCATCAATTTCAAAACTATACAACTACGAAATGTATTTTGTTACATGATTCTTCTTCTATTGTCCGACTTTAAATATATTATGATTATTCTATTATTATTATTATTACGTTTTTGTTCAAACAATTCGGATCTCATGACGCGTCTATTTGAATATTTTTCTTCTTCTCTTTTCTTTTGTCTTTGTCTCACGCTCTCAATTATACTTGTTTTTTTTCGTGTTTGAACTACTGTGTATATATATATATATATATACATATACGCACACATATATATGTACATATACATATGAACAAAAAAATTTTTTTTCTCGTTTAGTTTTTTGATTTTATATTAGAATTTCAAATGGGTACATACATTTCCAATTCATTTTCAGACAGCCACTAATGTGAAGTAAGCAGACTCTGCTTATTTCATGTTAGTAATTGTCTCTGTTTAGTAGAGACGAGACGTCATTTCATAGATAGTTGAAAATTACCTAAAACGTCTATAAATTAATAAAGAATTCGTTCGTAGATAAACATCATTAAATCTTATTTGATAAAAGTTTTAGAATATTAGAATAATAGTCTATTAAACTTTTTGAGAGATGATAACGATATATTACGTATAAAGTCATATTAATGTTGTTTCAGATTTCTTCGAATGTTTCATATTTTATCATTGTTATATGTTAACGTTTTTTGCTTTCTAAATTATGGATAATACCAATAAAATCGTTTTATATGTTATTTGTGGTGTAGTTGGTTTTATTGTTCTTGTCAGCATTATCCTCATCATTTTATGGTGTATTAATCGTCATTATCGTAATCGTATGAATTCATCATCATCATCCTTATCTGATTCAACGAGTTCACAAACACCACCATTACCATCATCATTTCCATTTCGTTTACGTGCAAAACCTAAACAGATTAATAATAAAAAGAATACGAAAAAAATATTAGTAAAAAGTCAATCAAATACTACCAATAATGTTGAAAATTATCCTCATCTTATTAATACAAATGTAAAAAATTTAGAAAAATTATTACAAAGTGAATCAACATTAACAGCGAGTTCATGGCATTATGAAAAAAATCTTCATCAACAATTAGATGAACAATCAATATCGCCTTTAACAATTCCATCATCATTAGCAACGACAATGATTCCATCCACACCTAATCCTGATATGCAACATGATCGGTAAGTATATAAAATATCTACATAATAAAATTTATAATTAATCATTTTTAAATCGATTTAATATCGTATAAATCCAATAATATGTAAAAAAAAGAAAATTTGCTTAATATGTCATGAACATATGTACTTGATTTATTTAATTCCTCTTCAAGAGAATTAAATTAAAAAATATAGAACCTTCTATTCACGGCCAGTGAATTACTTATGAGATTTATTTATTAAATAAAATAGAATAATCTCTCTCTTTGTTTTTTTCTTAGTATAAATGACTTTGGTCGAAGTACTGATCATTTGTACACATCATCGTCCACAGTTTTAACTGCTATATCAAATACAGATGAACGTTACCGTCGACCATCTAAACCACGAAACTTGACTATCTCAGAATTAGTTGATCCTTATATTGTTCAAATGCCATCAGCTTCACTATCGACGACCTATCCCGTTCGACCACCACCATTATTCATACAACGAAACAATTCTCAAATTAGTCAGCAACAAGCAAATTATCGTTTTAAAAATGAGCTTAATCACATTTTTCGAACAAAACAGCCACCAAAAATCACTAATACTCGTAGTCATCATTTAATTAATTATTCACAAAGTTGTCGTACACCAAATGATCCTGTACCATTTTATTTTTCAGTTACAAATTCATCAGAACCAAATTGTGTGAGAACAGGATATTCAAATGAAACGTTAATTAGGAAAGCACAAATTAGGGATGATACAGCGATTTTATATTGAACGATATAAATATTCATCAGAAAGAGGGAAGAATACGAATGAAACAAAATAATCTATATAATACGAGTTATGAGTGTTTTGAAAAATCGAGCAATGATAATAAATAACTTTTTCACTTGAAAACTGGTGAAGATAGTTATTGGAAAATTTTAATTTCCATACATTTTTTATTTTCGTTTTGGTGACAACTAGTCAATCAAATTATTAAAAGATGTAATTTCAGCTTTGTCATACAAGTTAGCTGTTTACTCTAACTGGCTGTTGAATAGACAAATTTTGCTTATAATTCAAAAAATGTCAAAAAACAAAATCAATTATTTGATCAGGAACAAAATTTGTTTCGAATGTGGTAAGTGGTCATCCATAAATCACATGATTACCTTTATGAAGGAAACTATCGAGCTACGAAGATGCGGACGAATGTCTGTGGAATGAAAATTGTTTTCAACATAATAAACACAAGACTTCAAGTATTGTGCGGTTAACAATGGTAGATGAATAATCGACGAAATATAATTGTCTGATCTGACGAGTATATAAAACTCATCCACAGAATATTTGCTCATGATGCGTTTCACTTTCTGCGTGATTGACCAATAAGCAAGATGAACGAGAATGAAACTTCTAGTGCATCCATTATTTACAATTTATTTGATTTACTATCTTCAGATTTCGTTCAGAATTTGACTGGATAAAAGCATTTTTTTTAATCATCATTCTGCTTTTGATGCTCTGTGAAAAAGTTAGTGTGACTGTGGCCATAGCCTGCAGTCAACTTGAAATGTGTAATTTTCATCATTTTTCTGTGGTATAGTCAAACCTCTCAACTGTGAGCATCTTTTGGACTTTTCAAAAAGAACTTCTTCAGAGAAGTTTTCAAAAATCTTCTACCATCATTTTTCGTCATCATAAAGTGACTTTAAGAGGTCAAACTAGTTAGTTCTTTTGGTTGTCGTATGCAAATTACAGAAAAACTTTAAAAACAATCTGTTGTGTTTAAAAAGAAGCAATTCTTTTGTACTTTGAAAAATTCATCTATTCTAATGACCCTCTTGCAGTCTTTCTACTACTTGGAGCCAAAGTATATGATCTCTGTCTAGAATAGAAGAAAGGTTCGCTCATTGGATTTCAAAGTGCACACAATGATTTGGGTACTTTAAAGGAGTGGCTACAAAGAGGGCTTTTATTGTATACTAGTAAGCCTAGAAAAGTGGTTGTTTTCTCTGTAAAGATAAAAATTTCACACTTAAAAAAATACTTTCGATTATATGATCAGTGGTGAGAGTGCTAGCGCTCGATCATTCGAAGAGGATAGAGTAAATAAACCGAAATAAAACGATCATGTGATTAATGGTGGTCGCCTACGGGAAAAATATTTTTTTTGAATACGATCTGTCTGGATAGTGTACGAATTAATGAGATTCTCTACGTCGCATACCAAAGATCGGTTATCGGACATTGAACAGTAAAAGAAAAAGATGAACAAGAAAAAGAGTAAAAAGAACAGAACGGCGAATACATAAAGAAAGTAGAAGAAAACAATTTTCTTTCCTTTTTTTTTTCTTTTATTTGTGAAAATTTCAATTTTGCCGCTTTTTTCTCTATGTATGAATTTTAGATATTATTTTATTTTAATTAATATTAAGAAATTAGTCTTTGGACTAATGAAGCATTTAAGAAACGTAGAACTCAATTTAAAATCACATAAAAAAAAGAGGGAGACACTGCATCATTTGAATTAATGAGACACAATTGAGTTACCCTGATGTATCAGAGTTCGAAACGGTTTAGCCGATCAAATCGGTTCTCTTTCTTTTATCGATGTTGGACAACTTTCTCGCTTGCATTTATATCGTCCGATACTGATAAAAGAAAGAGAACCGGTTAAACCGGTTCCAACTCTGTGATGTACCCTACCTAATCAATATTATTTTCATTTTTATGTTGAAATTAATTGGGTCAAAAATTTCACGAAAGGTTTTTTCTAAATGACTAAAAAGATGTGTATTAATTTCATGCGTATAGACAAGGTGAAATCAATCAGTCTATTATATTATAAACAATCGAAATATTTTAATACGAATACAACATATAATAATCAATAAGCAATTTTATTAGATGGGTCCCAATTAAAATAAATAGACGAAGTATTAAACTAAAACAAATTACCAGCCATATATTCTCCTAAAAGTCAATGCCAGACGAGAATAATGAAGGACTAACTTATAATACTTTTAATATAAGATGTGTGCAACTGGATTTTAACCATGAAGCAATATTACTAATTAAAAATAACAAAGGTTAACATTCATATCAGCAACAAAGAAAAGCGAAAATAACCAGTCTTTATAATGGTGGATGGTAGTCGTCTAAGCGTAAAAAGAATATACTGATGTTTAGATACTACATGAAATAGTTTTTAAATAAATGAAAAGTAAAAAAATCTTTTAGTTAACCACAGTGATAAACACTTTATAATTTATTTTACACTAGCACGCATCGCATTTTAAGTCAAAATATATAGTTTTTTGAAAGAATGATAGTGTAAATTGATCATATTTTTGAAAAGCGCTTTTTTTTTGTAATTGAAATATGGGAAATAGATTTGGGAGAAATAAAGCAGCAGCAGAACAAGCCGCCATTGATCCAATTTATAATTATAAAGATCCATATGGTGGACAGTTTTACGATCCTAATACATATCCTGGTTATACTTCAGAACCTCCCGGTTATTCGTCTCCGTATCTACCGCCCCCATCTGATCCAAGTGGATTAGGCGTCTATGCTCCGGAACTACCATATGGATACGATTCATATGGAATTGATCAATATGGTTTCAATAGTTATGAAGCTGGTACATATTCGTCGTTTGTTTCTCCAACATCTTCAATAGTCAATTATGGGGAGCTTACGATTGGTACAGGGGGAAGAAATTGGTTCGACCAAAGGTATCCACAAGGTAAGTCGCAACTCGCTTAATAATATCAACAGTTTCTATCTAAATATTATATTCTAAGGTTTTAATCAAATGCAACTAAATTCACTTTGGAATTATGGAAATCATTATTTGGGCAATACTACAATGCAAATGATACCATTTATGCTAGGAAAAGTTGGCAGATTTCTACAATGTAATGAAAATGTAGGTGGTATGGGAATGAATCCATCTGGTTTTAGTTCAGCGATGGGTAAGTTTACTTATCCCAATTGTCTAATATATAGTAAAAATTTAAAAATCAAGTGAAAATCTTAGTAATTCCCTAGACATGAAATGAGAGAATTTATTTTTAATGTATGCCATTTAGTGGTGGATTGATGTCAAGTAAGTCTAGCACTTTGTTTTATTCTCTACTAAATATCAGTCTTCTGAATTTCATAAACTCAAAAAATGAATAATAATTATTTACAGTATTTTAGGTTTCGGACACTTGATGGGGGGAAACATGGCATTTTCGGGAGCATGCAATTGTCCGGGACTCAGTACACCGTTTATAATGGCAGCCACTCCATTGCCAGTAGCATACAATCCTATAATTCAAGGTATTTACCCAATGTCAACTATGAGTGCTGTTCAAATGTGGAATCCCATGCAATTCATTTCGACGTTGTTCACAGGACCGATGCCATATCGTCCTCCAACTTTGGATTTTCCAAGTAATGTAGGAATGGTCATGACGATACCATATGGCACATCAAATCCGCTTTTATCTCCCAACGGTTACAATTCCATACCTTCGTCATTTCCTAATTCGTGTGTTTGCTGTAATTGTTCCAATGCACCGCCAGTCAGTTATTCTAATCCCGTGATGATTCCGCAACCATATCCAGTTCCTTACGTCCAACCAGTTGAAATCGCTCATATAAATCCTATACCGGCTTCATATCCGATAATGAGTAATAATCTACCTGACATGTTGGGCCAGAGTGAGTATCCGATGTCCACAACCATCACACCAATTGCTCAACCACTCCCTCCATCTCCTTACAATAATGTTTCTGCTCCATCAGTTACACCATTAATGCGTACAGGTGTGTCAGGTGTTTATTCAGGTTATGATGAGCCACTAGTATCGTCCGCCGCGTCTCTACAACAACAAGAGAGTCCAGTAGGACAAGTGAAAACAGACGCATGCCGCTCTGGAACCTGTGATGTTCAGAGTAGGCAAAAAGCACAACAATCATCATCGAAACTGTCGCATTTAAATACTACTACATTATCTGATCGAAACAGAAAGAATGGAATATTTCACAAACTCAAAAATCAGTTTAGTTCACGTTTATTTAAAACAAAAAATCAAAATATTTATAGTCCTTTAGATCAAAATTATCCACAATATGCTGCATCAATGTCTGGTATAACGAATAACAATTATTACGAATCCATATTACCATTGCCGTACAACGGCTTATTAATATCAGATTCAGGGTGGATGCCAAATGTGTCAACAAAAGAAAAAGCAATAGACTTTTTTCGGTTTCCGGAAAAGTATAAACGCAGTAAACTATTTCGACAACGAGAGCAGTCGACTACTATCAGCAACGAATATGACTGCGAGATATGTAAAAAGCTCAATCAACAGCATTTACGAAAATATTCAAATTCATCTAAATTATTGTCTTTATCATCTCGAGAAAGTCGACAATATTCTCCTTCTGACTCAGCACTAACCGCTCCTTCGTCACCTTATCCGATCAAATCAGGTACGCCTCGTCTAAAAAAACGTCGTTCCCATCGTCGAACGAAAAAACCGCAAAATTATCTTCAAGATTCTTTGTTAAATAACAACAGTCATTACAATGATCAAAAATATAAAGAAAAAATAGATTCTCATTCGAATTCAAAACAATCGTCACGAAAATCTCCAAAGCGATCCGAAACGACACTCGAAAATAATCATAACACAGATACTGAGAGTTCAGCATCTAGTAGTATCACGGCCGCAAAATAAGAATATTACATCTCCTATATCTGCTTTACGCAGAAATATGTTATACTATTTTGGAAGGTCTGTAGTTATTGTACAATTCAATTTTTTTTCTTTAATTTTAAATGTTAAAATCGAACATGAGAGAGAGAAAGAGTTCCTCAAATAGTAGTAGAAATAGAAAACCGACTTATTTATTTATACAGTAACGATTTTTGAAAGTGCTTTATTAAACATTTCCTTAACAAATGTTATAAAATGTTTGATATGCACTACTTGTTCTAGTGTACAGTAATTATTTATAATTGTAAGTAATATTCAAATTTGTTTATTATGTAACTGATCTTTTCTCGGTGGAATAAAAACAAGATAATTTTCTCGCGATCATTCACTAGAATTTTAACAAGTTTAACAGAAAAATTTAATTCAGTCAATATTATAATCATAATAATGTCGAAATAATTAACGGATGATAATTTTTATTGTTTTGAAAGTTTATAATTTGTTCTTGCTGTTGTTTGTTGATACAATGGTAACTGATTGATCATGTTCATAACGAGACGATGATGATGTGAATGATTTAGATTTTCTTTTTTTTTACTAACTACATGATATTGAATTCTATTTTCGACAAATGAAAGATGTTCCGGATACCAACAGTTTTTAGATTGCTCTTGAAGAAGGATGTACCACATACTTTACTTCGAAAGGTATAAGCCAGCCTTGCTTCTTCTGTACCATGTCGATATGCCAACTCCTTTAGCATCTGTCTAGCAATAAACATCTTTATACCGATGATCTTATGGTGATAAAAAAAGCCTCTCTGTGGTGGTTTAGAGAAGAAGGTGCATCGAAGCTACAACAATAAGCACAGAAAGCTCTCAACGAACTTGAAACATATTCAATTAAATGAAAACAGCCGATCAATCACAAGAAATAGGACAGTAGATACATCGGCAGATGAAATTACTACATATCGAGCTTAAACTAGGCAACACAATAATAGCAAATGTTGAATTATTCAAATATCTGGGCTTTTACGTCGATTTGAAACTACTGTTTATCCGTTACTTTAAAATCAAATGTACAAAAAATTGGAAAAATAGTACAACGTTGAAACATATAGCGAAATCGCGAAAGTCATATCAATGTGCGAGGAAATCGATGTTCAACAATGCTATGTAGCGTACTCAATTCTATCAAAAACCACGAACAACATACTCGAAGCCAAAAACAGACAATTGTTCAGATCAATTTGTTGTTGGTTTAATGCATCAAATGACGAAGTTCAATAGATGGAGATGTTTGAGACAGTAGAAGGTCATGTGAAATAATTTCTCATGCGGTTTCTAGACAAAGTCTTACACCGTTATCAAGAATTATTCGAAAATAGGTCTAACATAAATCAGCAAAAATGTACTTTCGTTTTCATAAGATAAACATATCATAACGGATTAGACAGAGAAAATGACGTCACTTTACAAAATTTTTCTCAAGTCATTTTCTTGATCAGAAAATTTTATTTTTATGTCAAAAAGATAGAGAATTGTGTCTAGATTTTATTCATACGTTGTTTTAAAAATAAGCATATCCCGTTCTTTTACAACAGTAAAATTCTACCTTCTGCACTTATCCGTAAAGGCATGTAAAGGAAATATAGTCATTTTTTTATTAATGAAAATTGAATAAGTTTTCATATACCCGAAATATATTTATAAAATGGCCTCAATGAATTATCGTTATTTGAAAAAATGTTTTCAAAGCAAGATTAACAAAATATATAAAGGCAGATATAATTGAAGATCTCGTAGTAATAAATATTGTTGCTTTTTTACGGTATACAAAATCTGCTTCCTCATCTCTGTGATACAATTAGTACTATGTTGAGAGGTGCAATCGTTTTATCGTATTTATGTTAGAAGCAATTTTAAATATTCCAACTGATCTAATTTATGTTTATTGTTGCAAAAGGTAAAAATGCATCCATTATCAATCATTAAAAGAAAGACTTAATAGTTTGCCTAGAGATACAGGTACAAGTAAAGTTTTATCAAATTAAAAAAATTAACGAAAAACATTGGTATTGGTTTAAAATTATATAACTAAAAAAACTATATAGCAAAAAAAAAGTTTATATAAAAAAACAAAAAATAAAAACATTTTGTATTATCATTATACACTTTCACTGTTTTGTGCAAAAAAAATTAAAACGAAATAAACCTATTCACTAAATTTATATCGCAGAAACGATTCAAAACTATCGTCTTTTTTTTCAGGTTCTCTTTCACCAAATACACACTCTTTTAATGAGATAAAAATAACAACTGAAACATAAAATATAATAACTATTTAAAAACGATAACTCTAGTTGACGATTAGAACATCTGGTCCTTTTTGTGCTTGTTGTCGCCGAAGTGGAGATCGAATTAGACCTAAAAAAAAGAGCAACAGCAGATCCACTGATGATGTAAATTGACTAATAAAACTCTTTCTTCTATATGTTACCAGTAATAATAGTTCCTACTGCAAGAACAATACAAAGCATCAAATTTGACCAAAATACTTTGCCATATTTAAAAATTAAAATTTCTTGTAATTTTGTTATAGTTAAACCAAATATCTAAAATAGTAAAAAAATATTTGAGAAAACAAAAGTTGATATCTTCGTTTAATTGGCGACTGATGCAGTAAAACATTACATGACATTTCAGAAAAATTTCAGTACAGCATCGCTAAACTGTCGATATATTTCTATGTAAAAAAAGCGCCGCACTGATTTTTATCAATGTCGCATTGAAACTTATTTAATTAGTAGTTCGTTTTATATTATAGTTAATTTACTTAATTTTGTATTAATTATAGTGCGACGCTGATAAGTACTATTCATGATATAACGGTCTTATAGTAAGACTGAAAACTCACATTTTAAGTTGTTTAATTTTTATTTTGTTGAAATAAAAATAAAAATTGACTAATGTTCTTCATAGTAGGTATATACTATATTTATTCATTATCAAATTTTACTGTCTGTCAATAAAGGTTATTTAGACGTTGGTATATCAAACTGGTGATTGAACGTAAAAATTCACTGGTACGTATCGGTGTCCAGCAAAAAAACTGACTCGGCATCCATGTATACTAGTGCACAACAGAATTTTTTTTATTAGAGTCCACTGTGATGCGATCGACTTCTTCGTACTTGCAAGAAGAAGAAAGTTAAGTAGCAAAAACAACACAAATTTGACTGCATTATACTTTTAGTCTTTTTAAATAAGACAAAGTCTGATTTCTAATAAATACGACAGTCTATGTCTACATACTTGAGAAGCAACATTAAGTAAACTTCCCGATATGGCTTCATTCTGTGGGTAAGTTATTTCCACACCATACTCAAATCCAACTGGAAGATAACCCGTCATAAAGAACCTAAATAAATGATTATTTGCTTTTACGCACAACAAATAATTCCGTTTGTTCTTACCCGAGTAAAGTCATTGTAAAAAACGCTACAAATTTATGAAATTGAATTGTTAGTGTAAATAATAACGTGGCCAGAAACGAAAGTAAATAAACACCAAAAGTAACTATTCTACAATAGTAAACACATATTCAGTGATGCATTTTATTGATTCTGATGAAACTAACTGTCTTACTTGTAAGCTTTCGTTCGATCTAAGATAAACCCAGCTAATAATGCGCCAGGAATTCCCCCTAATATTAACAACATTCCAATCACACCTGCGTATCGGCTGGCTGATTCAGTTTGTTTCTGAATAAACAACGCATTATTAAAACCTATATACCACGTTTTCTTATCTGTTTCTTACATCAAAGTACGACAGATAAATCGGATTGAGTAATGTTGATACAGCATAAAATGATCCTGTGCTCAGACCTACAAAGGATAATCAAAAACCAATACGTGATAGATTGTTCTTTCAAAGGAAATTTACCATATGACAGTAATAATAAAAGAAACCATCGATTACAAATTAAACGCTTTAATGTCTTGCCATAATTTTGTTCAACTGTTTGTAATGATTGAGCTTGTGCTCGACTCGGCGGAGTTGGTGGAAGACGTCTAAAGACTGAATCAAAAGCAATATATCACCTTAAATTTAAAATAATATCATACCCACAATCATTGAAATAAAAACAAGAGTACAAATAGCACCAACAGAAAAGAATAAGATTTGTAAACGGCGGCCAATCAAATCTAAATCATCCACGTCAGGTACGAGTGACGCAGGTATCACACAACCCAGGGCAATACCAACCTACAACAAAAACAAACATAAACTAGAGTGCAAGAACGCTGTGTGAGCGTTGCTAAAGACGCGCCAAAAGAGATCATTCGAAGTCTCAATACTCATTAGTCCACTATAAGAATCCACTACAAAAATAATCGGATTTAATAGTAAGATAAGTCTAAAATGTTATACAAGTGCACAGACACATGGCCGTAACACATTGAATTATCTCAAAAGTGTATTAGTCAGTGAAAAAAAGTAAAAAGCAGTGGATCTCACATAAAAATATAGCTAGTGACAAAGAATAATGAACTAAAACTCAATATATATGTATTCTACGAAAAATATTTTGCAATAAAAATATTAAATGGAACTGTACAGTACTCCACCAAAACAGCGATACTACTGTAACTCAAGAACCATGATAGCTACAAACGTCTGATTTTGTGTAATCATAGCTCTCGCTGAATGCTAATCACACCACCAGTTTTAGTGGATAGTTCGTGAGATATAAGCGTTTTCCTTCTTTTCCGTAGAATGCTAATAACTGCTGATCCAAGAGAGATGAAAAATTTTCTTTTCACCAAAATTTAGCCCTAGTCATCCTGCCGTTTTCTTATGAAAGCTTGTAACAAGATCTTATTGCATGATCCTGCAAGGTCTTGTCTTAGGATGTTGTAAGATCCTGAGGAATCTTGTAACTTCTTGTCATAAGATCTTACATGATCAGCTCATAAGACGTGACAAGATCTTGTAACACGAAAGCATATGATCTTACAAGATCTTGCAATTGAGAGGCGTGACCTGTATTTATTTCTTATCACAAGATCATTCGATTTCTTGTTATAAGATCTTATATGATCTTGCAAGAATCGATGACTCATTCTTACCATATAAACTTCGCTGTGATATTGAGTATATATATAACATAGTTCTTATGATAAAACTTAGAATTTCTTTCTTTCTTCGCCTTCACACATCGGCTGAGCAGAGGATTCTTGATATAGGACGGTAGGAAAAATCCTATAGGATTCCTATAATACGAATCTTATGCATTTCGGTACTACGGCAAGATTTGGTCAGATTCCTATTTTTTCGTTCTGTATATGTTTTCTTTTCTGTTTCTATACGAGAACACAATTACCGACGTATTTTGTAGTAACTATAATATAAATACAACTCTACTGTAGAAAATGAAAAATTGTTTTTGGCTCAAATTTTCGCACCGAACACTGTGAGCCATAGGAACTCTCTACTGTTCGACGATGTGTGAGTCAGTATTCACAAGTCTTGGGCTTATCCCAATTCATATGTATGTAGAGGATGATCAGGACTAAATTTGGTGAAAAGAAAAGTTTTCATCTCTCTTCGATCAGCAGTTATTAGTATTCTACGGAAATGAAGGAAGCGCTTGGTGAAAATTTCCACATGAATGATGCACTCAGAACGGTAAATAGCCTATTAAAACCATTTGTTTTTGGTGACAGTTGAGTATAATGTAAATGTGAAAAGCAGAGAGATAGCAGCTCACTTGATTACCAAATACTGCCAAGCTTGTGACAGTAGAAACAGAGTCTGCACCAAACCATGTAGCTGCCAAGAAAGGAGGGATACCTAGAGCGAAAAGAACAGTTACGAAAATAGCTAAATATAAAACATATTTTACCTAAAGTGAACGATTGTGCACATGCACAAATAAACTGTCCGGTAAATGTAACCCACCATCTTGTTGGTTTCACACTAGCACATTTAATCAATGCTCCTAATGCATTCAAAAATGCACCAGTTGAACATGTCACTTTTAAACCTTTTCGATCTAATAGCCACATGGCTGGAAACGCAAGTGGTATGTATGTTACCATATAGAGAAGTGATGTCCATGTCACCATATCATTTGCTGTGTGTTCTGCCGATGGTAAACTTTCATTATAATAACGTACAATTATGTTTTGTATAATAACATATTCAATCCATTGAAAACCACTTGTTAACGAACACAAACAAAATATTATTAAAATTGGAAAACGCCGTGGATATAAACGATAAGGAATATGTTTATCTATCTGATCATCAGTATTTGCTTGATGTCTTTGAATATTAGTCGCTGATAGAGGATTTGTGTAATCTGAATTAACAATTTGATCACTATCTATATTTGATAAATCTGTAACTGGCACTGTTGTGTCATTACTATAAACCACTAAAACAACCAAAAAAAGACAGTTACATAATAAATAGATTATCGGTACGGCATACCGATACTCATTTTATCTTGAGAGAGATAACACAACTGCCACCACTATCGCTATCTATTATATTTCCTTTGTTGCGTTTCTGTAGAAGTTAATCTCTTTTAAGAAGAACATACCATTTGGACAAAGCAAATAATCGTTCTTCATTATGGAGTATTTAAAGCTGAGTGATAGTTGTATTAAATACCATATCTTGTTTCTTTTTTTCTAATACATCAGTGATAATAAATATTATCAGCGTTTCAAACAAAAATGAAACCACTGATAATAATACCGAGCTGGCGACGCGAAATAGCTAGCTGGAATATACAATAAATCTATTCTACCATCCACATATTACATTTAGGTCGATCTGGTTTTCTTTCTCTTTTTTTTATAAACGAAAACACAAAAAAAAAAACACCCGAAAAAATGTATCCATGTTTACAAAGAAGGACGAAACCAACATGATTTCTAACAGTGATGATAAGACAGAAAAGAAAAGAAAAAGAAATATGAAGGTTTACGTCGTGACAAATTGTAAGAGGCTTGCAAATGTAAAAATCTAATATTAGAAATTCATCAAATATCAAATATCGAATAGTTTCATATTTTTATTCCATAAAACCTTCTATGCAACTGATTCAAAGGTCAATAGTATAACTATAATGGTGGTTAAAGAAAGATATATTGGAATGTATTTTGAACAACATTTGATATGAAAGTGATAGACACCTGCGACTTTCATCTTTCGAAAACCAAGGTCTAACCGTATATTTTAATAATAAGAGTCATTTCGAGAATCTTTTTCCAAAGATTATTCACAGGGTCTTCAAAAAACTGTGTCATTACTCAAAAACCTGAAATACCGATAGTTTAGTTTTTTTATGGACAAATAACTCAAAATTGGTTAGACTGAGTGCTGGGATAATGTCTGTTACCATTAGTAATTTTCAGAATCTATGTGAAATAAATCATTTTAGGTGATCTTACTGGAAGACAGAAAATTTATAACACAAGGAAAATCAGTTCAAAAACACTTCGAGATCACAAGATATACTCTTTTTTTAGTTGCTTTGTATCATTGTGTGGGCCAAAGTGCGAAAAAAACCTGCTTGTGCTTCCAAATTGCGTGTAGTCGTTGTAACTTTGTATATATAGATCGTGAGAGATTTTACACTAGATGATACAAGGTCGGTCAGTTTGATTATACTTGAGGAATTTTAATTATAATTCACGAATTTTGATGGAATTCCCAGGTAATTTTGATATTAGACGATGGATACACGTTCAAGGTAATCAAACAAAGGAAATACCGTTTTTGTCTTGTAAAATGTATCACTTTGCCATGTTTCCCTGACAATGAAAATAAACTCATAATAAATTCACATCTGCCATATGGCAGCTTTGTTATGCGTGAGATTCGTTGTGCTCCCTAAAATACCAATAGGTCCTGATCCTAGAGAGATGAAGAGTTTAGTGTTGTGTACTGTAAGCTAAAATATACTGATGGAAACATATGACGACATAAAAAGTAGGAAAACTTTATCAATAAGGTTTGGTACACATTAGTGATTTTGCACTAACTTATCTGTTTTAGTACGAGTAATATAATATGGTGTAGAGAAACAGCTTTTTCTGTCGCCATATATTCCCAGAAGTATTTTAGCATATTAATGTACATTGAATGCAGACTTTTCTATGGTAGAAAAAATGATCTCTAGCTCCTCAATCTCGTTCGTCTATGTTTATTGCATTAACGTCTATATATGCTCGATGGGTTTCTGAAATCCTACAATACTTGGTCTTGAAACGTTGACCGGATAAGCAAGAGACACTGCAGACTATGTAGTGTAAATTGAAAGCCAATGTATAATGTTTTTGAACCCCAAATTTCAGAAGTGATCGTCGATCGTAAATACCTGTAAACCCACCAATATTATGAAAGACATGCGGCCGCACATAAAGAAAGTTTTTCATGTGTGGTCATCCATGAATTATTCACTACTTTTCTGTGGCGTTTTTCTCGCATGACAGTGGAAATTATGAACTTTGTAATGAACACGCGTGAATTCTCTACGTTCACATACTCGTAAATATTTCCACTCGTGATCGGCAGTGAAATATAGAAAGTTCGCTCACGGTCACGCATTTTATGGTGAAGTACATGATCCTGATGTCATGAAAGTTTGATAAAACTTTTCCATGAAACATCTGATTATTAATTATCTCGTAAACTAGCAACGACAAAGTTTTTTCGAAATATGCTTATTTTCATTTTGGTGAGTGTTAGAAAATCCTTTACATGTCTCATTCTGACGAAATGTTTATCGTACAGCTAAAACTTTTTGCGTAACATATAGTCCGGCCCGACATTCTCTCCACGAATGCTAGTAGAAACATTCCTCTGAAATTCACTAGGGCTAAGTGGTAAAGACTGCCTTCGTAAGTGACGAGACCTGTCTGATTTGTAGTGCTTATAAAAGTATACTAGAAAGCACAAGTCGAGCTCTTCAAATCAAGCGCATTTCGCAAGAGCTTCATCTTTCCAGCGAAGAGGTAATTTCTTTAAGAGTGCCGCTCGACAGTTTCACACAAAATTCATATTGATACAAAATTATTCCTTCGATGCTTACTATCCACTTTAATATTTTCATGCTGTTCGTCATCACTTCTAGAGAATAGGGTTCAGCATGATCCTAGACCTTATTTACAGGGCATAGTATTCTGCCCGTAACTATTCTAGGGAATGTACCCGAGTACTCGTACTCAGAGTCACACTCTGCTGAAAACTCGACCATTATATATGAGTGCTCATGTATTGTTTACTCATTGAGTACTCAGATGAGTACTCGTGTGAGAGTATTGAGTATATGAGTCGTACTCATTGAGTATTCATGCGCAGATGTGTGAGTATATCGTCTCATGTTATGAGTACTTTCACCAGGATAATTTGTCAGTTCGAGTGGAAAATGGCCTGCTACCCCGTAAAACTCACATTTACACAATACTTGCCCATAGGCTTGAAAGCTACACTGTTAAAAATGATTCACACGATTCACTGTCTGCGGATTTACTGTCCGTTGATTAATTTCTATTTTAATTAGCTTTTTTTCCTAGAAAAGTATAATTTCTGCTATAGAGGATTTACTTTCCGTTCATTACATATAAATATATTCCAATTTAGCTACTTTCTT